CATAAGCTAAGTAAACACAGTAACTTCCATGATGTCCTAACAAGAGTTCACTGGTTATACGGTGAGAGGAAGAGGTGGAATTTCAGCTGGGCACTACAATATGGATAGGATTTGGATTAGGAGAAAGAAAGGAAAACGAAGTTACAGATTCCATAAAGCACAAATACATACAGGGTAGAGGTAGAGGGGATACAGCAGTATGGCTGTACTCTTACGAGCAAGTGTGTTAAGCACAAACTGCAGTATGTCAGGAAAAACTATTTCCATTTTCATCCATTAATTTTAGCACCATGATAAAGCTAAGGAAAAAAAAGCCAGGGTATTCCACTTTTATATGTTCATATGAAAATATACAGATTAATCAAGGTATCAAATAAATATTGGCATAATGACTTTTTATCATTAATTTTTGGAGTATAATCTCAGCCACTGGATTGGGTAGGGGACAAACAACTTCTTTGTTTGTTTGAATGCTTCCTCACAGAAAAATCAAGTAGCATACTTTTATGAAGTAGGGTATTCTGAAAAAAAAAAAAAAAAAGTAGTAGTAGTAGTTTGGGATTTTAATCCTGGCTCTACCGCTTTATTTATTCAACAAAAATTTATTGTCAAGACTCTGTTCTACAAATATCTATTGTGAAGGCTCTGTTCTAGGCCCTGGGGATATAAACAAACAGCAAAAAACAACCCGTTGCCTTGAGTCACTTCTGACTCATAGTGACCCCAAAGGACAGAGTAGAACTGCCCAATAGGGTTTCCAAGGAGCGACTGGTGGATTTGAATTGCCAGTCGCTTGGTTTGCAGACAAACACTTAGCCACTGTACCACCAGGGCTCCTTTAATAGTCTGTTAAGTGACAACTGGCCAAAAATCTATCTTTACCATCATCAGATGTAGAGTACCACATTATATCATGCTTGCATTACATAGTTTAGTTTTTATATTTCAGATAAGCATTTTGTTTTTAATTGATTAGAACAATGTTATACAGAGGAAATGGGATGTCTTAGTTATCTAGTGCTGCTATAACAGAAATACCACAAGTGGGTGATTTTAACAAACAAAAATTTATTTTCTCACAGTTTAGGAGGCTGGAAGTCCGAATTCAGAGCACCAGCTCTAGGAGAAGGCTTTCTCTCTTTGTCAGCTCTGGAGGAAGACCCTTGTCTCTTCAGCTTCTGCTTCCTGGTTCCTTAGAAATCTCCATGTGTCTTGGCATCTATCTTACCCCATATCTCTGCTTCTAACTTGCTTGTTTAATCTCTTTTTATCTCAAAAGAGATTGAGTGAAGATATACCCCACACAAATCCTGCCTCATTAACATAACCAACACAACCCATTCCCAAATGGGATTATAACCACAGGCACAGAGGTTAGGATTTACAACACATATCTGGGGGACACAATTCAATCGATAAAGGGACAAGGATTGGTTTCAGCACTTAGTTACACCATTTATTAGCTATGTGATCTCAGATAAACATGGGCCATCCATGCATCAGTTTCCTTAACTATAAAATAAGGAGGAAATGATTTGCTCCACCTACCTCATGGCCCCCACACATCTGCCAGAACACTTAATTGTGCTCATAAGGAATCTGTACACAGATCAAGAGGCAGTCGTTCAAACAGAACAAGGGGTTTAAAGTCAGGAAAGGTGTGCATCAGGGTTGTATCCTTTCACCATACTTATTCAATTTGTATGCTGAGAAAATAATCCGAGAAGCTGGGCTATAGGAAGAAGAACATGGCATCAGGACTGAAGGAAGACTCATTAACAATCTGCATTACACAGGTGACACAACCTTGCTTGCTGAAAGTGAAGAGGACTTGAAGAACTTACTGATGAAGATCAAAGACCACAGCCTTCAGTATGGATTACACCTCAACATAAAGAAAACAAAAAACTTCACAACTGGACCAATAAGCAACATCATGATAAATGGAGAAAACACTGAAGTGGTCAAGGATTTTCATTTTACTTGGATCCACAATCAACACCTATGGAAGCAGCAGTCAAGAAATCAAACAACACGTTGCATTGGGTAAATCTGCTGCAAAAGACCTCTTTAAAGCGTTAAAAAGCAAAGATGTCACCTTCAAGACTAAGGTGCCCCTCACCCAAGCTACGGTGTTTTCAATCGCCTCATATGTATGCAAAAGCTGGACAATGAATAAGACTGAAGAAGAATTGATGCCTTTGAATTATGGTATCAGTGAAGAATATCGAATATACCATGGACTGCCAAAGAACGAACGAATCTGTCTTGGAAGAAGTACAGCCAGAATGCTCCTTAGAAGCAAGGATGGCGAGACTTCATCTCACATACTTTGGACATGTTATCAGGAGGGATCAGTCCCCGGAGAAGGACATCACGCTTGGTAAAGTAGAGGGTCAGCGAAAAAGAGGAAGACCTTCAACAAATGGATTGACACAGTGGCTGCAACAACGGGCTCAAGTATAAAAATGATTGCGAGGACGGTGCAGGACCGGGTGGTATTTCATTCTGTTGTACATAGGGTCACGATGAGTCGGAACTGACTCAACGACACCTAACAATAACAACAAGCTCATGGGGTTGCTAAAAATAGATGATCAATTGGAAACTATAAATGGTGAAAAAGTATATGAATACAAGTTAATTTATCTTCATTACATACCATGATTTGAGTCTTAAAATTACCAACACTTGTTATTTGGAAACATGCAGAAGGAAGGAAGTACCAGAAGAAGGGGATCAAAATTTCCTAAGAATTAATTCACTTTCCACAAAATCAACCATTCTTCTCTCTGCCACCATAGGAGCAAGACTTACTGTTTAAAACATGTTTGAAGAATGTCAGCTTACCTCTGCTATTCTGCACAATTCTGGGAGATTTTAGGAGAAAGGATGTTAATTAAGAAAAAAATAACAGTTTATAGCTAAGATCATCAGACATAAAATGGTGCTATCTATGTAAGCCTATTTTTGTCTTTTCCATAGATGCCTGGAAGAGAAAGAGGTGGGAATATAAGATAAGGAAAAGAAGTGAAACTAGCAGAAGAATAAACAAGATAAAAAAGAATTAAAGAAAAAAAAGGCGAAAGAGAGCAGGTCCTAAGGATGAAGCAACACAAAAAAGATTTTTTGTCCTTGCTGTAATAAAAAATAGATGCAAAGATAAGTAAAGCAGATGTAAAAAAGAAAATGTACACGTACAAGACAAAACAAATGAAAGCAATGGTGACAAGACAATGAGAAAATAGGAAACAAGAATGAAAAGCTACAGGCCAGATTTCTGAACTAGATGCTTAAACTGTACATGTCAAGGCAAATGAAAGAAACTGTCATAAAGATATAAAAAACTTAATACATAAAATCACTTTTTGTTTGCATTTTATATAAGCAAGTGAATACTGTTAATGATTTGCTTATTTCAAAAAGCTTACACAATTCATTTATGCGATCTGGATATCAGAAGTAATTTTTTCAAACTCTGTCATAAGACCTGAATTGACAGACTGGATCACATAGTAGGGAGCTTAGGACAAATGACAGAAAAGAGGGTGACATCATGATCCTGACGCAGTCATAGAAAAGAAAGGGAGTGATATAATTAGAACAAGCAAGCTACTCATTGATTCCAAATCTAGTAACTGTTTTTATTCATCAAAATAACATTAAGTAGTGAGATGCTTTTGAGAAATTTAAAGACAATCTGGCCAACTTCTGCTTAACTCATTAATTATATGAAGTGCATTGGGTATTCTCGGTCAGTATACACTTTGGGTTTTGAGAATTTATATACTGCTTTCACTAGTTTTACTGTCATAACTCACTGGATAGACTGACCAAACGTCTTGAATGTGTGGAGTACAATTCCAAGAAGTACAGTGATTTGCCATGAACCTATGAACCAGAAGTATAATAAAATAAATACCTTAAAAAGCAATGTACTTCCCTTTAAAGGTGGTATGAAATATTTTAATGATCTTTTAAAGGAAATGTAAAAATAGCTCAAGTTGTAAAGCTGAAACTTTACTTCTATCCTACACTGTGCAATTTATAAAATGTTAATTAATCTATGCATAAATGTTTTGAATTGCTCACTTGAAGAACATAACAATTTACTGTTTTACTTACCCAGTGGCATTTTTGACATGCTTTACTACTAAATTAAACTTCTAGAGTCCATAATAAGGGCTTTGAAAATCCCATGAATATGCCTCCAATATATAAGGCATGGTATGTATATCAAGCAGAATGTGTCAAAGTGCAAATAAAATTGTTTGTGCCCCCTGCAGAATTAGAACTCCTTAGGCAGCATGATTCCATGCTGCTAGCATTACAAAGTGCAAAGGTTCACTGGGTAAGAAAAGAGCAGAGGACAGAGTTCCCTCATTACACTATGCCTAAACTATTCTAGCTTAAATATTTATTAAGATATTAATTACTCTTTCTCCCTCTATCTGCTTTCTGAAGTTAAGCTGAGACACAGTGGATAGATAGCTGCTGAAAGGAAAACAACGCATTATCCAGTAAAGCTGTTACCACCCAAGATGAAGACTGATGTTTTTCTACAGCGTTTTATTAACTCTGCAGGTAATGTGTCTTAAAATTATTAGGCTACATGTACTCTCTCTTACGGATAATGTTAACAGCATAATAACTTAAAGAAATAGCATGTTGGAATGTTGGATTGGTAAGTTTTCTTCCTTCTGCATATATCATAATAAAATTATTTTAGAAAAACTTCCTTGAAGGAGTGTATGACACAAAAGAAAACAGCATTTGCATTTGAGACTTAAATAAAATGTCACACTGAAATAGGAATGATGTGTTTTATAATTTTGAATAAATAATAGAAAACATTTCTTCCAAGAAGTAGACACCCATGGGAAATGGATGGCTAAAAATTAACTATCTCTTTTTGAAAAAACATAAGCAATATAATTTATATGAAGACAGACCTAAATAAACAAAAGGAAATAATGAAGAAAATGAGAGATCTCACTTACTCTGATATACAACTGCATCGTTTCTTTTTCTCTTTGGGGGTTACGGTACTTCTCATAGAAATCACGTCGCTTCTTTGTTTCTTTAGGGACTTTATCTTTTCTTTCCCGTTTTTCTGCTGGTTCATCTGAACTATCAGAAGATGACTGTACATGTATCGTAGGCTTTTCTACTTCAATATAGTTTTCATTGGGATTCAGTACTATTACTCCATATCCTTCCTGTTTTGAAATGAAAAAAGAATACAAAATGAATCTTAGAAACCATTTCCAATTCATAAAAAAGTTCTCATACTTAGTGATTTAATAAAGTTGCATATTCACTAAAATTTTTCTTTAGAAAAAATAATTATGATTTTTATTTTTCTAATAAAAAGTCATTTTAAATTGCCTTTATTGTTTGTATCGACTACCTATTAAGAACAAAAAGATAATTGTAACAAAGATTAATAAGGGTTAAATTTTTTTTTAAATGTACTTCAGATTGCCTAGTTTCCCAAAATGATCAAAATAAATTATTAAATAAAAAGCACATTTTCAAACAACATTTATATTTATAATATATATTGAGAAAATAAACTATTTGAAATTGAAGTTTACAATTCAAACTACATTTTGTTGGATTTTCTTTACAATCAGCCTTTAATGACCTTTTTTTTTTTGAACAACAAAAAAGAATAAGTAATTAAAAATGAATAAATCTGACCAAACATTCTATAGATTTACATATCTACATTATCAAAAAGGTACAATGTCTATTTGTGCACCTTGAATTTGATTCATCTGTCTTCTTTCAGGAAGCCAGAGAAGTCATAAAACAAAATAAATTAATCGTGTACTATGATGTATGGAAGCAACTCTTAAAACCTTAAAATTTCTTTCATTTTTTAAACTAATATAATTTTTCTTGATTAAAATCTAGAACCAAGAAACACGTGAAGTTCTAAAGTTTACAGTACAGCTTGTGAGCTATTAAATCTTTCTTTTTCTTTAAGTTTGTAAAACATATTTTCCTGTCTGATTTAATTCTAACAAGGTAAACATTTCTATGGTTATGATTAAAGAAACATTTAATATTTATATTATATTATAACTGATAGAAGAATCTAACCACAAGAAAATAGAGACAAACAATAACCACTAGTAAGTATGTGCAACACAAAGTTTTGAAGCTATTACATATCTTGTCTTTTCTATTCGATTCTGTATTATGGTTGTCTCAGTTATGTTCTTGTAAAGTCTTGCGAGGTCATAGTCAAAAGATGTATTATATTATGATAAAAAACATAAAGCTATACAGAACATTAAGCTTACTAAATTTCCTACTTATTAAAAAATTGTATTTTTTCTTGAAGTATTATTGTACGTTCTATTTGAAGTTTAAAATTTAATTCCCTTCTATCAAGTTTCCCATAAGTAGATGATTTTAAAAATTAAAGCAGTAATAATAAACCAATATTAAGATGGACTGAATTATCTTATTTTGAAATAGGCTACAATGCTGTACATGGTTGCTTTTTTTAAATAGCTGATATCACAAACTACATACAAATTTTATTTATATTGTTTCAATTTTTCTCCCTCAATCAGATGGTATTATTGTCTAAAATCCTGATTTAGTTTGGGGATTCCAGATCACTGAAGTTCTGATTTTAGTGATAGGACTGTTAATTAAGATACAGTCCTCTTACCTATGTGAAAATTATCTGTGTATTAACACATACCACACTGATTAACAAAACACCATACACTCTTCAATGGATGTATTTTAATTTTAAATAAAACTTTTAGATAAATGCCTCTTTCATGAAAGGCTTATAAAATACTAATTTTTTAAATTTAAACCTTCTACTTCAAAGTACAAGAGAATTTTTTTTTTTTTGAAGTTTCTTAGCTGGCAAGTCAAAGTTTTACCAACAAAAGATATTTTATTTGGTCCTGCTTTATTCTAATCTGTACAGCTATTCAAAAGTCTTGTAATTCATTGTGATCACTGTCAGGTAGACAGATTGTCACTTGGTGATTTTCTACAGTTGGACACACTTGACTAGTTATTAAAATCACATTGGAAGGAAGTTCCTACCCCTCTTCCTTGTGCCTCTTACAACTTTTCACGCCCTTCTCAAATTTCAGCTATAACTTCTCCTCCCACCAAAAGTAAGTTAAAGAACACTGTTGCACTCTGCTAAACAGGGTGAAATAGAGGCATTCAGTACACTGTCTCTGATATAAGGAACATAGTCAAAAAAGGTCACCATAGGCCAAAAAGAAAATTGCCTCCTTACTAGATTCTGTACCGTGAGTAAGTGGTCTCCTGTCATGTTTCTTCCCTACGTTCTTTGAGTGAACTGAACTTTAAACACATACACACAACTGAGTTTCTCATACTTACATATGAGTATATGAATTAGAGCAAACAAGTCCAAAACAGACTCTCAGAATTCTTAAATACAGTTGAAAATAGTGATATACTATACTTCAGTGATAGTATGAAAAATTCCAAACTCAAGGTGGGACTTTAAAAACATCATCTTTGCACAAGGAATGAATTTCAAATAAAGGTGAACTCTTTGGAAAATTTATAGTAACCAGAATCGCAAAAGTATTACCCTAATTTATAACTTAATCACTAGAAATAATACTGTGGTGATATCAGATTTGAGCACAAGTTTTTATCAATTCTTGGAAACCATGGATTGAAAAAATTATTGTGCCTATTTGATTTTACATGGACTCTGAAATTTGATGTGTCCAATCAAAATAAGCATAAAATGTAGACACACATAAATCATCAAAGAAGTAGTATTTGTCTAAGTTATTGATTAAGTAACTGAAAATTACATGACTCATTTGTCCAATTTTATAAAGACACAATGTCAATTTTTCACTGAGGCATCAACAAATGAAAAATGATTCTCCTTTTAAATCACTGCTATATAAATCAATTATTTTTATCACTTAGATTTCAACAGTGAATGTTTCTCCTTAAATATCTAAATTATTAGAAAATATTTTATCCTTTAGATATTTCAGACTGTCAATATAATTAATGTAATAACAATCAAGAAATATTCAGAAACATTTTCTGCAGAAATGAGAGCTAATTTTAATAAATGTCTTTGTTGCAAATTCAATTATCATTTTGTAAAAAAATTACATTTTTTAATTTTTTTCCTGATAAATAAATTAATGTAGTATTCAAAGAGACCATTCATAGCCATTTTATAATGAGTAGGAGAAAGGAGTAACAAAATAAAGTTAACTATCTCATCTACGTGCTCTAACCACTGATAGGTAGTAAAATCTCATCTTTTCTACCTTTTCTTTGTCAAATGCAATATTGTAAAGAAATACTTTTGTATAAACTACAAAAATTTTTGCTACATAAATATTATTATATGGAAACTAAGGAGTCAATGCAAACAGTCAAGTAGAGACAAAATATCAATTGTTAAATTTAACTCTTTCAAGCAGAATAATGCCAATTTACATCTTAAAAAATCAGAATAAATATCATTTAAAAAATTGATTCTTTCTCTTCCCAGTAACTCAATCGGTACACAAGAGAAATAGGTAAGAGATGCTAGTGTGACCTTTGCCGAATGTAGCAATAAAGTTTTACAAAAATACACTATAAAATCAAGCATTAAGTATAGTATCACAAAAGAACTGTGCATTTCCACTCTAATAAGGAGGCTTCCATAACTAATGCTTGGAATCTTAAACATTTTGTATTGAAGTATTCCTTTTATATTTAATTATTCCTTAAGCATGCCAAATTTCTCATACAATGAAAAGTTAGATCATTTCCAATATACATGGAAACCTCTCCTGTTATCTTTAACAAGATAAAATGATCAAACTGATTATCTAACATCCTACGACTAAATAAATAAAACTCCCGGCATCTTTTATAATGATTTACTCAAATCAATTCCAATATCCAACATTTCAAGAGACAAAGCATACACAAAGTTGTTAATTAACTCTTATGTTTGATCGCACAGTCTAGTAGAAGATCAAGGGGGTGATCAAGAGAACAGATATTGGTAAAAGTAAACTTTATGTCTTTAATTCATCCCATTCCATTTTATTATACTTTTGTAGCTGTAACTGTAGCTTCATTTTCAGACCTGTGTTTATAAGGTATAAACCATGGGATCTTAGTATCCCTCCAACTTTAGTGCTAGACATAGCATTTTATTCAGCACAAGTACTTGCTGTGATCTAAAGAGAAACACGGGCCTCCAGGCCTCCTTTACTTTGAAGTCTATAGATGCACTTACTAGTAAATAATAGTTCATTTATCATTCACTCAGCAGATGATGGCTAAGGTCAAAGAGGTCTAAAACAAGTGATGCTGAACACAGAGAATCAAAGAAGAAGAAACCTTGATAAATAAATGAAATCAGTACAGATATGTACTTAGCAAGAAGATTCTACTAACAGACAAATTTTTAAATGCCTGACCAAAACCAGAATGTACTTTTACCCCAAATAAAATATTTCTAAAACTAAAGGTTTATCTAAATTAATTTGCTATTAATTATCAATTATAAGGCAAACAGAAATTTGTGGCATATTCTACATCTTTTCAAATCTCTTGTGGTTGGCTAAATAAAAAATGAGCTAAAAGTACTCAGCTCTGCATAATAACCTGCCAATTCTGCAAGCCACACGTGACCAGAGAGGTCAGGAGCCAGAGTGGAATCCTTTGACCTATGGAACTATCTGTTGGTCTTCAAGAAAGGCTCTGTAAGACATCATTTTACACGGATTTGTCAATCATATTTTTCAAGTTCAGCATTCTATCTGCCTGGTTTGAAAGAAGATAGGTGTGCATCCATCCTCAAGGGAAATGAAACCCAAAGTGTTTTGATCTGTAAACTACATCTGCCCATGGTTAAAATGGACAAACCCTCGTCCATCATCTTTTCTGAAAGATGTATGTTCGGTTTATTTCTCATCTTTTTTCACAAGAAGGGTATGTATATGTCACTGTTGCAACATCCTCGGTGCAACAGTGAGATAAGATCATGACAACCAATCAGAAGCCACTAGTGAAGCGTTAAAGTAAACATAGCTGTTGGAGCTGCAGCTCTGCTAGAAAAATGCCCCCTCCATTATTTCAGTAATTTTCTCAAGACGTGACCTGGGACTGAAACCCTTGAAATGTCACTTGACTCTGTTTTGTGCTTCTTCCCAATGTGCATTTAGGTATC